GGCATAGCCAGTCTGACATGCGTGGGTCTGGTGTTAAATTGTTAATGAGCCAATTAAGTTGTCCAGCAGTTAATGAGATGTTGCCTGCTGAGACAGTGTGGCTGTGCTGGGCTGGAGGCAGGCGGGGAGGTGCAGATGACAGGGTCACCCTGATGTCCCCCTGTCTGAGCTCTGTTCAGGGCGCAGGGTCCCAGCACAGAGAGACAGCTGGACCAGGTCTGCTTTCGCCAGCTGTTGATCATCTGGTTCTAGTCTGCTGGTCATGAATTGTGTCTGCTTTGCGAGTGTGTTGTGACTGCAGTTAGTGTGTCAGAGCACATCCACACAGGTCTGACTTTTCCTCTTTCGTCCCCTGGTACCAGCCCACCATAATCATTGAAATAACAATTTCGATACCCTTTCATCTGGTTGCCATAGAGACCCCCAAGGTGATGGGTTGCCAAGGTAACAGGTCAGTGGAGTGTCTGTGACTGAATAGTGTCACATCTCTGGAGTGGGACAGGGAAAAAAAACTAAAACACACACATCGGTATGACAGATGGAACAGTTTTAACTAAACATTCTCAACTCCTCGTCCCGGAAACACCACTCAAGAGCAAGACAGACATGAAAAACAAAAAACAAATCTGTAACTGTAATTTTGAAGCCAAGTGTTTCACAGTGGGGTACATTCCACTGTGTGTTTTGTGCTGTTCTCCGAGCACAGTGATTCACTCACACACAGACTTCCCACAGCTGCTGTGAAAGGGCCTGGTTAATTGGTTAACGAGCTCATAATGAGAATAACACATTGCGCGAAGCAGCACTTCAATCTGCAGAATTGTAACCAATCCATTAGAACTAACACAGCTCCTCAGGACAGGAAGCACACTGCACACTACACACACTGCACAAACTACACACACTGCGCATACTTCACACACTACACACACACTGCACATACTGAAAATACTACACACACTGCACAAACTACACACTGCAAACACATGAATCGCAGACATATGGCCTGAAAGGATATTTTGAAACTATAGTCAGGTAGCAACAACCAGACAGCTATACTGTGACCTGTACAGCCCTCATTACAGAGTCATGTTATATCCTTCATGTTACACGTTAAACATGAAAACCGTCTTCAGGAGAGATGAGAGGAGAGGAGATGGAGGGGAGGGAGAGTTAACTGCACTGGGTTGTATTGTGTTGGTTGTGTGAAGACTTGTATTGGGTTGGTTGTGTGAAGGCTTGTATTGTGTTGTATTGTGTTGGTTGTGTGAAGGCTTGTATTAAGTATTGTGTTGGTTGTGTGATTGTTTGCTGTTCGATTCTCTCCTTGGGTCTGATCTGCAGACAGAGCTGCTAGCTGTAGGAGCCGTTGTCTTTTACACTGCTGGTGTTAATGACCTGTTTCAGTTGCTGACACAGTTAATTGTTGTCTGCTGCTGTGCTTCGGCGAAACTGTAATGAATTGAAAGAATAGAATTAATTGATTAATTGAGACAGCACTCGTGAGATCAACGAGTTCCTCTTTAATCACAGCTTCCAACAGAGCACAGTTCAGAAGTACTAGCAGCACTGTAGAAATCTACACACGGACTGATATGACACCTGGGTCACGTTACAGAGGATATAGATTACATCACTAGGACACGCCTGGACTGCGCCTGGCTCAGCGTTGTGCTTATCAGTGCTCTGTGCATCCCATCTCACTGTGAGCACACAGAGAGAGTGAGGCAGTCTGTGCTGAGAGAGTGAGAGTGAGACAAGGTCCGACATTTGTCATGGAGAGTGAGACAGTATGGGAAGAGTGAGTGAGTCTATGCTAAGATAGGGAGAGTAAGATAGAGTGCACTGGGAGAGGGAAGAACAGTGGCAGAGTGTGCTAAGGGAGTGAGGTGGCATGCAAAGACTGTGACAGTCGATACTGTAAGAGTGAGGCAGTGACAGGCCCAGTGAGACTGAGCAAGGGTGAAATATGCAGTGAGAGTGAGACAGTGTAAGACTCACAGTGAGAGTGAGACAGTGT